TCAAACTTTCTGTCCAATCAAATGCTCTCTAGAATCCGAAGCCCCGCCCCCTACACTATAAATAGACGCTGAAGCCGCGGCTGAAATCGGTCACTTGTCCACAGAATTAGTATTTTCTGTACAGTGAATGGCACGTAGTGCACTATATAGGGGACAGGGAACGACTCAAACAGTGTAAATATGCTTTCCATTGAGGAAAAAAAGAAGTCTGGTTCCGACTCGAGTCGGCGCAGACCACAAAATGTATCGGAGCTATTTGAATTCTACACAGAATGCTATATTTTATAGCAACATGGATGAGATTGTGGCTGGCATACCCTGTCAAATGCGGCTTTACGGAGCTCAACGGCTCTAGCCCAAGCGGTGATATAAACGAACGCTATTGGCTACTTTAAAAAGGGGGCGGGGCTGCTTGATATGTCCTGCCCGGTCTTCCCGTTTCAGTTCAAATGACAGTAACCGTGGTTCAACAAAATACTGACACAAGGGGGGGTGATCCTTTTTCCAACTCAGTGATTCTGTTTTTTTTTTCTTTTTCTGACATGTTGGGTGTTATATCTTTCATTTGGATGTTATATGTTGCACTGAGTAAATACAGCTGGATAAAACAAAAACTGTGTCTGTCTTAATTTCAGGCTGCAAAGCAACAAAATATGATTATTTTGAATCTATACCCACTGTATACGTGTATAAAAACAAACCCTCGTGGTCCTTTTCTGTCACCCACCTTGTCATCGGTGCAGGCTTTGAGCAGCGCATCCCTGGCCTGCAGTTTGCTCTCCAGCACGCTGTAGTCTCCGTCCTTCTGGTCGATCTGTTTCCGGTGCGTGTCCACCTGCACCATCAGCTCGGAGTTCCTCTTCTCCAGGCGCGAGCGCGCCGCGTCCGTGCGCTTCACCTGCGTCTGCATCTCGGCCAGCTCGTCCAGCAGCCGCCCGTGCTTAGTGGACACACTCCAGTAGTTAAACGACAGAATGACGATCACCACCAATAACACGATCAGGATGAAGGACGGGAGGCGACCGCCACGTCGATTCGCGCCGAAGCCGATCATCGCGTAATCGAACAGAGATTACGATCCCTCGCTTTGTGTGAGCGCCGCGCGTAACTTAAAGAAGGAGAAAAACTATTGCTGTGGCCACTGCTCTACTGAGTTATCTATCTCGAAAGATTTGTGTTCATCCACATTCGGCTTACAGCAACCTTGAAGTGTCCTGAAGTTGGTCACACAACTACTTGACGACTCCACCGGATCCCTTCCGCACAGTTGGCGACTTCAAGCTTTTCCTTGTTTGCATTCACGCGACGCCACTGTCAGTAGATCAAACACACCGACACACACAGGCGACGTGGCCTATGAGCGCTGAAGCGAGCTAACGGCGCACAGACATGAGCTTTCCGTCCTCCGCCCGATCCTACAGCACTTGATAACGCATTTTTATTCGGTTACGGTCATCTCTGCCGTCATGCTCGTGTGATTAATACACTTCTGAATGCACCGTTCGGCTGTATGTTAGCTATAACCTCGCTAAAGTAACTTAGCATGCGCGAATCTGGTGGAGCAACCGCCGTGCGTTAGCTTCAGTTCAACAACGCGATACCGATTTCTTTTAAACACACAAGGCCAACCCGAAATTGGGCATGTAAACAAATCTATTACCATTAGTAAAAAAAAAAGCACTAATAGCCTATTAGACCATTAGCGTTACATCTGACACCGCTAGCTAGGCCTGATTTACAGTATTCTGCACATGCACAACAATATGCACCTGATATAAAACAACACCGTATAAACAAACTCAAATGATGCGTTTAGAGCGTCTCTAAATGCATTTCCATGCAGAATAGACTATAACGTTACATACACCGCTAGCTTTAGAGTTCGCTTGTTCTGGAACTCAACTCCAGCCTTCCTCCTCTGTTCTCGGTCCTGCAGAATGCATGCGCAAACACCATGTATTTGTATATATACATAAGTAAACGCGTCAGCAAAATATCGGATTTCGTAATCGTGTCCTTATCTCGTATATCTAACTACCAGGTTGGATGTCTCGATAAAAACCAGAAAAATGTCGTCCAGCGTGTAAGGTGTACAGAGGAGCGTGATTGACAGCTACAACAACCAATCCGTGAACACAGTAGTACACTTTAGACGAATCTAATTGGCTGTGGGCGTAGCTGCTTCTGTCGTTCAATTTTCATTGGACGAGAGAAGGTAATAAGAGAAGGTATAAGGCACTAGAATGAACGTTCTCATCATTAGCCAAAACGTCGCAGTTATGGGAGCCCTACCTATTCCGGGATGTCGCTCATTATGTCTTTTTTATATATAATACGGTGTACAGAGGAGCGTGATTGACAGCTACAACAACCAATCCGTGAACACAGTAGTACACTTTAGACGAATCTAATTGGCTGTGGGCGTAGCTGCTTCTGTCGTTCAATTTTCATTGGACGCTCATATAATAAGAGAAGGTATAAGGCACTAGAATGAACGTTCTCATCATTAGCCAAAACGTCGCAGTTATGGGAGCCCTACCTATTCCGGGATGTTGCTCATTATGTCTTTTTTTATATATAATATATTCTTTTAATGCCTGAGGTTGATTAAAAATATCAGTTAGTTAAGGCTATAAAGTGTAAGAGCCACAGTAAATGTATCTTCAAATGATTTAAACAAGTAGTTGCCATCTAGTGTGACAAATAATCAGCCTCCCTGTCTGGTTTACCAAAACTTTGAGCGGGGCAAATACAAAGACTGAGCCTCGTCCAAAACCATGGATTTTCACTGCATAATCACAGCAAGATATACAAAATAGTAGTCTATAAAAATAAAATAGGAACAGACTCATTTTTATTTTGCAATACAGAAAATAATTACACACTGAGGTAAGTTGAATAATCCAGCTTCATAAAGGTCTCTGTCCTGCAGTGGCACACAATGACCAAGTATGTCCAATAATTCACATAACGTTTGCAGAAGCTGTGTATTAAATAAAAAAAAAAGAAAGAAAAAGGTTTCATGAAGAGGTAAATCCATGTTGTCATCTTCTATGGTCTTATAGACCCACTCTCCTATTTAGCACAGTAGCAAATTCACTTTAACAAATATTTAACTTTTTTTCTGACGATAAAATAAAAATATATACCCCTGCAGGTAAACACTCTTTATTTTTCTTTTCTTTTATTGTATAATTTTTTTTACATACGAGAGAGCATCAACTCTATAATAACTGTTTTTTGTTTTTCAAGAGCTACAGTTTTCTGCTGATGAGAGTTAGGACTTGTCCTTGGCACATATTCAGAGGATTATGAGGAAAAGAGTGTTTGTAGTCCGGAGGGTCAAAGTGTAGTTTCTCTGCATACACTAAAAATCTGTGTGATTTACTTTTTTGCCCTCATGTGAAACATGCTGATCATGCAGATTCCTACTAAAATGACTGGATTACATTCACAAAATTTCACCAAGCACTGGCAAATGTGACCGTACATTAAGTCTGACGCTGAAGACTGGAGTAATGGCTGCTGAAAATTCAGCTTTGCCATCACAGGAATAAAATACAGTATATTACAATAGAAAACTTAATTTAAATTGTAATAATACATTGTAATATGTTTTTTCAAATGTCTTGGTGGGCATAAGAGATTTTTTTGTAAAAGAAACATCTTACTGACCCCAAACTTTAGAAGGGTAATATGGGTCCTTGAGTAAAATGTTTTTCCAAAGCAAAATCAAGGTCCTGAAGCAAAGCAAATTGAGAACTATTATTCCATCAAACATTACAGATGCATTATGCTAATGTGGAAGGAATGTAAGATTAGAAAAAGTCTTTCACACTAAACAGCCCACATATATACACCAAAGAAAGCGAAGACTTCTGACTTTGTGTTTGTTAATAAATATGCTTGCAGCATCCTCACCCTGAGTGCTAAGGCCAGCTGTGGTGTTCCTTTCACACAGACTGGACTCTGTCACCTGTTGCTCAAGACTGGTGGTGATCTGGATGGGAGAAAAAAAACATTTTAATTACATTTCTAACAAGCTAATCAATAACGTGTTTAGAACTCAAAGGCTTTTGAGTGTAACCTTCTGGAGAGGATGGTGATCGAAAACGGTCTTACACCCGAGGATGATAACAAACAACTGCAAAAGGCGGAGAATCAGACATCAGAACATCTGGCACTGAGGAGTCTGCTGCAGTCTGACATCTGGCATCACACAGTGCTTTAAAACAACTGTGCCATCTTGTGACCTGCAGGGGGCTCTCTAAGATCACATTTGCACTCCAAACGTCTGCATTATTATGACTGCTCACTGTGTGTGGTTTCCATAAAATAAAATAAAAATCTTTATAACATGATTGATCCAAAACACGTAAACTACAGAGTATTCATCCTATATAGAGAGAGCTTATTTCACAGCACAGAGGGACTTTATAAAAAATGTGGAAAATAAGCTGCAGGTTACAATCAGTAGCTATAAATAAAGCTGACTATATCGATTTAAAAATATGTCTTCCTGTCTCTTTCTAGTATTGCTGTTTTCAAAGCTTCTCAGGCTTGTTCAGGTAAGAAATGGCTCCACTGATTGAAATGCCCCTGGTGCTTTGTTCACATGAGAAAGGTCTAAAATCAAGGAAACCTCTTGGTATTTTATCCCTTTTTAATCACAGACTCCTTTAGGTAGCAAACAAAACTTCAAAACACACAAAACATAATCACGGACTCAGTCGCTGGATTTGAAAGGTTTGGGTAATTCTTTGTGCATCTCTTTGCAGAGAGGAGAACTCTTGTTCCCTTTCATCAGGTGAAGAAGAGAAATTTGATGGAAAATCATTGTTCAAAAACAGGCCCTTCTCTCACTGTAAGAAAGCCCAATTCTTTTAAACGGAATGAAATTCCTGCCTATATTGCTGATGTGTTCCAGAGAAAATTATAATCCATTATACAAAGGCACTTGTATTAATTTCTTTCAGCTTTCAAGTGCACCGAAGGACCTTTTGACTGTCGAGCTTTACACAGACAAATGAGTGCAACTGATGAGGAGGAATATTGCTGAATTGGTGTTAAGCTAAAACATAGAGTCTGCATTACTTTAAGACTGAAATACCTGCAAACTAGTACGATCTATAAGAAACCAGGAACTATAATAAAGCAGGAAAAGGATCAATGATGTGATGCTCATCTATTCAAAAATACATCAAATGCATACACATTGTCTCTTGTTAAATGACTCCTTCAAAATTGAACATCAAAATTGTAGCCACCCAAAATGACTCTTTCTTTTCGTGAAACATGCTCACTTTAGGCATTTCATAAAAATCATCTGATATTGTGTTAAATTAAAATAAATAGTCATGCAACTTAATACTAGACACTACATAGCCAAATCATCATGCAATATTACCGTAGTATGTAGAAAAGGTGTCACCTGGCTGGCAGGTGTCTGTCCCACGACAGATTCATAGGGTGGTGGCAACTCAGATGGATATAGAGCCCCGGGGCTGTTTATAGGCACCCCATAAATAGCACTGAAGGGAGAATGTGGAAAGTCCAGATGCAACCCTCTAATGGAGAGAGATGATAGTAAAACATGATTACAACACTGAATCAATGCTTCAGCATATTTGGCTATATTATATTGGTGGGGATGATTTAGGAACAGTGGAAAATGAAACCATTTCCTCTTTATCACAGCGAGTTATACATCCCATTCTTTTAATTAATCAGACTCCCTCTGTCATATAGGAGGGGAGGAATCTGGGGTTTTTTTCAGTTGTTTCTTGTGTATTACCACATCCTGACACTGATTGTGCTTTGAAGCATTCTTGTTGGGTTGCTCTTGCTCTCAATGTATTTACTGCTTTGTTGACACATTAGTGTGGCCGCGGGCTAAACAGCCTCATCAGCACGTTTTTTATGATGGGATGGTGGGTAGAGTGTCTCACAGTGCGAGACAGAGAAATCAATTGTGGATTTACACCAGGCCATGGACACTTGTTGTCCATAAAATGGATAGGTCCAATTTAAAAAAAAAAAAAAGAATGGCTGTTTTTCATAATCATTCCATGGGGCAATTTCACAAACCTCTGTGAATCAATCTATTCACAAATGCAGAAACCTCTTTTTCAGAGCACAGGATTTGCAGCCAAGCAATCTGGGATCTCAGGTGCACTCTTAAAAATAAAGGTTCTTCACGATGCCATAGAAGAACCTTTTTATCTAAATGGTTCCATAAAGAACCTTTAACATCTGAAGAACCTTTCTATTTCACAAAAGGTTCTTTATGGTGAAATAAGGTTCTTCAGATTATAAAAAGGTAAGAAAGAGATGATTCTTTAAAGAACCTTTGACTGAATGGTTTTTTATGGAACCAAAAATGGTTCTTCTATGGCATCGATTTAATCCAAACCACGGGGAACACAGGACAGGTAGAAACACACACGTTGCACATGGAGTTGACGTTTAAGACAAGACGAAGGACTCAGGAAAACACAGGAATAACAAGGAACTAATTGGGACACACCTGAAATCAATGAACAATCAAAACATGGGAGAAACTGGGACACAGAACTGACAGTCAGCTCTTACCTGGCTGACAGGTGTCTGTCCCACGACAGATTCATAGGGTGGTGGCAACTCAGATGGATATAGAGCCCCGGGGCTGTTTATAGGCACCCCATAAATAGCACTGAAGGGAGAGTGTGGAAAGTCCAGATGCAACCCTCTAATGGAGAGAGATGATAGTAAAACATGATTACAACACTGAATCAATGCTTCAGCATATTTGGCTATATTATATTGGTGGGGATGATTTAGGAACAGTGGAAAATGAAACCATTTCCTCTTTATCACAGCGAGTTATACATCCCATTCTTTTAATTAATCAGACTCCCTCTGTCATATAGGAGGGGAGGAATCTGGGGTTTTTTTCAGTTGTTTCTTGTGTATTACCACATCCTGACACTGATTGTGCTTTGAAGCATTCTTGTTGGGTTGCTCTTGCTCTCAATGTATTTACTGCTTTGTTGACACATTAGTGTGGCCGCGGGCTAAACAGCCTCATCAGCACGTTTTTTATGATGGGATGGTGGGTAGAGTGTCTCACAGTGCGAGACAGAGAAATCAATTGTGGATTTACACCAGGCCATGGACACTTGTTGTCCATAAAATGGATAGGTCCAATTTAAAAAAAAAAAAAAAGAATGGCTGTTTTTCATAATCATTCCATGGGGCAATTTCACAAACCTCTGTGAATCAATCTATTCACAAATGCAGAAACCTCTTTTTCAGAGCACAGGATTTGCAGCCAAGCAATCTGGGATCTCAGGTGCACTCTTAAAAATAAAGGTTCTTCACGATGCCATAGAAGAACCTTTTTATCTAAATGGTTCCATAAAGAACCTTTAACATCTGAAGAACCTTTCTATTTCACAAAAGGTTCTTTATGGTGAAATAAGGTTCTTCAGATTATAAAAAGGTAAGAAAGAGATGATTCTTTAAAGAACCTTTGACTGAATGGTTTTTTATGGAACCAAAAATGGTTCTTCTATGGCATCGCTTGAAGAACCTTTTGAAGCACCTTTATTTTTAAGAGTGTAATGCGCAAATATTATGTCATTTCCTGTCAGCTGGGACGTGAGCTGTGTGTCTGTATGTGCGGGTTTACCTCTGGCCCTCCATCACAGGTGTGCAGGTGTACTCTGGGGGGTAGTAGGGAGGAGGGGGGATGGGTGGGATGAACTCGTCGAAATCCAGCGTCTGGTGTAAGATGGTACCATGAGGGGTCATACAGTCCGCGCTCAAGGCACGTGCCCTGTGTGGCATGAACTGATGAAAAAGATTTTAAAAAGTGAGTTTAAAAAAAAATTAGAACATACACAACTGTTCAAAAGTGTAGGGTCAGTAAGACTTGTTTATTTTATTTTATTTATTTTTGAAAGAAGTCTCATACTCACCAAGATGCATTTTATTCAATCGAAAATACAGTAAATACAGTAATAATGAAATATTTTAAATAACTGTATTCTATTTTAATATATTTTAAAATGTAATTGATTCATGTGATGCCAAGCTGATTTTTAGTAGCCATTACTCCAGTCTTCACTGTCACATGATCCTTTAGAAATAATTCTAATTTGCTGATTTGGCGTTCAAGAAATATTTCTTATTGTTATCAATGTTGAGAACAGTTGTGCTACTTAATATTTTTTGTGCAATCTGTGATTTTCGGGACAGGATCACATTTTTTCAGGATTCTTTAATGAATAGAAAGTTCAAAAGAACAGCATTTATTTGAAAAATATATATTTTTACTGTTACTCTTGATCAATTAAATGTGTCCTTGCTAAAGTATTAATTAAATTTTTTTTTTTAAAAACCTACTGACCCCAAACATTTGAATGGTATTGTAGGCTATTTGATGACCCTCTAATGAAACATTCACAGTATTATACTGTTCTTTGAAGTTCTTTCAAATAAGGCAAACTATGAAAACCACTGTGTCCAAAACAATCAAGACTAAAAGTAGGATGTCAGTTGGGTTATAATATAAAACATAAAAAAAAGACATAAGTAGGTCTGGATATTTTGCAAGGATATGAGAACAGATAGGATAGGGCCCTTTCTCACCCTGCTGAGACCCTTTAGCTAAAGAGTTTCATTTTATGCAATTTAACCCTCTGATGCATGAATTATTAAATTGAAAGAAGGATTTTACTTCAAAGCAAAGAATATAATCATTCCAAATATTTTTTTTCCTTCTATTTTTTATGTATTGAGAGAGTTACATAATAGTTATAATCACTTTCATCAGCCATGTAGAATTTAGGTTATAATATAAGAAATAGAAAAACATGTGACATCAAGAAAAGAGCCATATAGAATGATGAGGAAGGGTCAAAGGTTGTCATCCATGGTGATTTTCATGAGATATCATTGTGTGAATGGTTAAATGGATAGTTTACCCGCAAATGAAAATTCTGTCATCATTTACTCCCTTTCAGAACACAAAAGATATTTTGAAGAATGTGATCATTCACTTCCACTGTATGAACAAAAGAGGCATTTCTCAAAATATCTTTATGTTCCACAGAAGAAGAAAAAAATCATACAGTTTGGGACGACATGAGTGTGAGTAAATGATGACAGCATTTTCCTTTATGGGTGAACTATCCCTTGCTTTTAAACTATTGCTTTTAAAGTTCTATCCATGAATCAGCCGGTGAAAAGTTCAGATGGGTAGAGTAACTCATTTTGTGGCATTCTTGCAAGTTCAAGAATAGGTTCAGAACGTTTTTATGATGACAATGCACTTTCCCGTTGATGACTTCTTAGAATATGTGAAGGCTCATCAATCAGAAGGCACTGAAATCATCCTTGAATAGATCAATCTGATCCTTAAAGATCATTAAGAAAGGCAATGACCGTAAATGACTGATAAGTACAGCTAGCAACATAAAGGCATTACATCACAAAGCCAAAATCATGATTCAAAATAACAATATATACAGAGATAAGATACAAATGAACAGGTTGTGGTGAAATCACTTAATACAGTTGCAAAGGGAAAAGCTCCATGCAGTGCTTCACCTCATCCCTGCCCTCGGGCCTCTGTTGTCTTTGTACATGGACTGTGCAGCTGGTAACAGCAATGATTTCTCGCTTTGCCACTCTGTGCCCCGAGTCGAAACTAATCCCACAACTGCTCCAGCGATTCACAGAGCCGCAGCCATGCTAATATAACTCATCTCAATTCATTTCCCTGTGCCCATGCCTCTGCTGCAGCCATCCATGAGGCTGTGCAATTTACTGCAGCGCCCATAAACCACACAAAGCCCACTCTTAAAGAATGTTAAAACTTTATGTCCCACAAGTTTATTTTCTCTCACATAAAACAGGCTGGCTGAAAAAGACAGATCCACTAAAAGGGAGTGATGACAGATCCCACTGAGCATTGTAACGTCTGTGGTCTCATCCTCATGTAATCTTACACTTAAGAAATTAATAGTACTTCTAACAAATCTGCTTGAAGTACAACCAAATGAGATGAAGACTCTTGTCATAGCATCAGTGGCTTAGAGAAACCTGTTTTATTCTGCATAAGAGAAGAGCTGAATACAACTCTTTGGATGCAAAATAAATGTAATAAATTAATCATGGGTGACAAATGTGCCTGCAATGGCAACCATAAACCTTGAATTTTGTGTGATGTCATATCCAGGTTGATACAGTAGGTATCAGAACAATGAAAAATGTAATAAAACTTTAATTGAATTACTTCGTGAGGAAACCCATAACATAAGGAAGAGTAAACAATCATTGTCCTACACATTAAAAAATTTAAGTATACTTAAAGGCCACCCAAATATGTAAATATTAAATAAATAATTCTTGTCATCACTTACTCACCCACATGTTGTTCCAATCCTGTATGATATTATTTCGCCTGTGGAACATAAAACAAGATATTTTGAAGAATGTTGGTAGCCTAACAATTTTGTTTCCATGACTTCCATTATATGGATAAAAGTACAATGGAAGTCAATGGGAACCGAAACGGTTTGGCTGGCAGCATTCTTCAAAAATATCTTGTTTTGTGTTCTGCAGCAAAAAGAAATTCATACAGGTTTGGAATAACATGAGGGTCAGAAAATTTTCATTTTTAGGTGAACTATTCCGTAAACTAGTGAAAATGTACATTCAAATAACTTGGAACTGAAGTCTTTGTACATTCAGATATACACGACAAATATTTTTCAATTAAGAGTTAAGCCTATATACTGTCATTTTATGAAAGCAATGGGTTTCCTTACTTTAAATAAAGCCAACTAATTTTACAAAGTCCAAGACCACTCTGTTATGACCCCTGCTGGAGAGCCAAAAAAAAAAAGGATAGGAAGATCCAAAAATCAGCATTTGTTTCTAGACTTGATTATTTTTTTGATCCAAAAGGAAATCAGGTTACTCTTGGGAAAGTGTCTGAAGACTAAGTCACAGCATATATTTCCTGATTTGTTCATATTGCTCTTAATTGTACTTATTGAAAAACATTTTTTAGGTCAATATAAGATGCACTAATGAAATCTGATTAAACTGATTAAAATCCATGATGTAATGGGAAAATGTAATGTGCATTAACACACTCAGAAAGACGCACACACATTGCGGTATGGATCACACTTACCATCTGTAGTAAATCAGTAGAAACCATTTGCATACAGCACACAGCCGTGGCCAGAGCACACACAATGGTGGAGATAACATTCAGTGCACACACACTGAAAAGCAGCTCCTGGGAGACAGAGAGAAAAATGGAGAGACAGAGATAAGAAGAGAGAGGACAAGAAGGTGTGAATCAAAGAGCAAGAGACAGAGGGACAGAAGGAGAGTGAGAGAAAGACAGAAAATAAACAAGAGTGGCAATTGTTTTGCTGCAAAAACCTCAGCCTGGCATGAACATTTATTGTTCTGTTTGTCAGAATGAGAAAGTCGCGGAAAAACGGCAGATAGGAACAAATGTGTGGAAGAGAGAGAGTGGCTATGACATAATGGTTTAAAAGGGATAATGGTGTCACCAAAGTGGGACTTTTGCATGGTATTATCGTTCAGCAAAAGCATAAAAAAGCTGAACTAAAAGTTGCAATGTGGAAATTCCGTGTGCAGCCTTAAAAATCCATTCCCATTCAACGCTTAGTAAGTCTATTCGATTCCATTCCCACATTCTGATTCAGTTTGATTAGATCCTGATTCAGTTGATCTGATTCCATTCAGTATATTTCATTTACATTGCCTATTGTTTCAATGCTTTTGATGTAAACTTTACAGGAACTTTCTAATTTGGTAAAAACATATTAATTTTAAAAATAAACAATGCCCAAAACTATGCAGTTCAACTGCCATTAATATAAGATATGTAATAAACACAACTAAAACGAAGGTTTTAGATCGATAAGAATGTGTGAAAATGTAATAAAAATATATATAACCTTAAGAAAACTTTACTTATAAACTCCCACGAAATACAACATGTATACATCTACCCATATATAATATTACTTATCACTACTTGTGATTCGGTACGGTGTGCAGTCCACGAGGAATTGCAAGAAGTATTGCAAGAAAACACAGGTATAGAGTAAAAGTAAATGAATCTTGGGATTTTAAGAATATCAAACCATAACATATACCATATAGCATAACAGATTAACCTAAGCAGGAGCAAATGAGGAAGGCAATGACAGAATTTACAATTTCAGAATTCAGCATGTATCCAGTGTAAATAGTGAGTCATTAGAAGAAAGAGATCACTGAAAGAAAAAAAACAAAGGAAGGTCACTGGCACTGTTCGAAATTCTACCAGACTGAGCTGGGTGGTAGATCTGCCTCCATAAAAATGTTACTTACATTCAGTATATATGACAGCCCATCACACACACCTGCTATCCGAGCCCTGTCTGATCTCTCGTTGTGACAAGATAGAGTGTATGTGACCCAGTGATGTCCTCAAGGAAAATGCTGAATTCTTAAATGTGCACAAGCCCTTTAGGTGAAAGGGGCCCATTCTAAGAGGACTGGACAGGCCTAACCACTTCTACATGACTGTACAATCATCTAACCCCCAGAAAAGGCCAATACCCACTCTTTGGGGGCAGAGGATGTGTTTACACAAATGCACACAAAGAAGCTCTGGAAAGAAGAGACTCACTCTAATGCATTTAGTTTTTTTGGTTTAATTTGAAAATTGTATATCCATTTTTAAAATGTTTTAAATCATATATCAGTGTTATTAATGATAAAGTAATGATAACTTGCAGTTCAGTAAGTGCAGATGTTGATTCAGTAATCACTCTGACTGATTCAGTGAGTATATTAAGTGAAAGATTCATCAGACTGATTCAGTCATTTTGAACAATTCATTAAAAGAAGAGGCATTTGCTCATCAATTGAACTACACTTGTTATGCCCGTACATTTGTTTTTGTATGCAGCTTGCGAGTTCTTCTTAACAGAGAGATGTTTTTTCTAGCCTTTATTTTATTCAGACATTAAACTCACACTGGGTAAAATATGATTTCTGTTGTTGTGCTGTAGATTCAACAGTAGTGGTGAAGTGTGGCGATCAAACAGATCAAGACAATGCCTATATATGCACCTCCTAGACAACATCTAATGTTATGACGGGACTAAATCTGGTAGGATGCAGAACTAGCCCGTGGGGTTGTGTTCCAGTAAATCTAACAGAGGTACTAGGTCAGCTCCACTGAGAAACACCTGCTCTTCTCATTTTGAGCCAGCAGTGCTAACACTTGTCTCCCTGACGACAAGCAGAACAAAATAAACTGTGATGAAAGTGCATGCCTGTACCTTACCACCTTCATTCTGAATACATTCATTCAGTTGATGGGACATGGAACCATTTCCTGCATTCACTTAATGTTGATGAGGGTCTAAACCAGTTATCTGAGTGTTTGCTGGACTGCAAACTGACATGATAGTACTGACATGTCACTGACAAATGCATTAAGGTATTATACCTCAAATGAGTCCTGAAGGAAAACGAGTGTGTCATTATGACATACACCAGTGGGATATAATGGCCCTTACAATGAGGGAGCCACATGGTATGATATGCCAATGAGTCATAACATTAATTGTGCCTATGGTCTTTATAGGCATCTCAGTTGACCTGACTGGCCATGAAAAGACATTAAACCTTCAGACATCAATAAGAGCATTAAAATGTAAATCTTATTGATGCTTCATAACTCCATCTGAGTAAGTGCTACCGATATCATATAAATCATCAACAGTCAAATATTAAGGGTTTGCCTCTCTTTTTGTGTGTGAATCTTTTATATTTCGGCAATGTGTGAGGCTGGCTGAGGGAATTCATTTATATAGTCCACTGTTGTTATTGATGATTAAAACTAAACTATAGTAATTGAAATAAAGATAAAATAAAACAAAATATAAATATTAGATGAAAAAATTACTTAAACAAAAAAATGTTTCCTTGGCAACTAACTGAAATAAATATATTTCGGCAATGTGTGAGGCTGGCTGAGGGAATTCATTTATATAGTCCACTGTTGTTATTGATGATGTTGTTATTGATGATTAAAACTAAACTATAGTAATTGAAATAAAGATAAAATAAAACAAAATATAAATATTAGATGAAAAAATAACTTAAACAAAAAAATGTTTCCTTGGCAACTAACTGAAATAAATACGTTTCAGTGGAAGAACTCAAATAACTCAAATTAAAAGTAAAACAAAAATAAGGCTTAATAGAAATATTAAAAAACAACAACAAAATAATAAAAATGACAAAAGCACAACAAAATTATTCATGCTAAATTGAAAATATGAATATAATTAATTTAAATATTATTATAGTCTTTCAATTATACTAAAATAACACTGATATAAATCTCTTTTTACTTTCAATTCAGAAATTGTGTGTAACCAGCTATTTTCATTCTCAGCAAGGTAAAGATAGCTTCACTGTAATTTACACTGTAGAATTAATCAGCACACTTAAAATACAAATCATCTGAACTGAGACATTACATTTATAATGTCACAAACACACAAAGACTCACAAATACAAAGTCTGTACAGAGAAAGAAGATTTTACTGTGTTTTTTTCTAAGTTTGAAATGATGAAAACATGTAAAGAAGCATTTATAAGCAAGCGTTTACAAGCAAGTGTTTGTCTTGATTTCATAAAGAGTAGCAATTGCTTTGTACAAGTAAATTTGTGGAAGCCTCACATTACCACAACCCGTTTCAAAAGCTGCCAAATGCGCCGAGATCATGGCTAGCATGAGTGAATTGCTTAGACACTGGAAAGGGAACCAGCGGCGAGCGCTAATTGAAGATGCATAACTAATGATGACTGAGTCTCATCTGCATATTAGAGAAGAGACCCACAGTGCAACATGAAGAGACGTGTCCAATAAGGCAGACGTTTTCGGGAATAGCGTGTAATTCTTGCTCAGCTAAATGGTTCAAATACTCTCTAAAATTCAAACGAAAAAGGGTTTGAAAACCCAGCAAATATGCATGGGAGCGGAGCCAAAAAAAAAAAAAAAAACTTCTCCAGGCTATAAGTGTGATATTTTACAAATGTATTCCTCAAAAATATAATGTGAAAATTCTTGGAGCTCAAAAACAACATTTAAAGTCAAATAGCAGAACAAGAGTACAAATCTAAACCATTAAAATGTCTCTGTATATACTAGAAGAATAACACAATCCCAGAAATAAGCATAGCATCAAAAAATGGAGGATTGCAAAGTGACCCATGTTAATTTACTAAAGGAACACTACAATATTCATAACACTGAAAACTTACTCATCATATAGCAGGTACTTTTTGTCCAAGGTGACTTACAGTGCCATTCCTGCAGGGACCATACCCTTGGAGTGACTTGGGGTTAAGTGCTTGCCTATAGGTATAATGGTGCCAGAGAAGATTGAGGTCTCAAGATCTCTTGTAGTTCTACATCAGCCCTACCTGGGTCTGAACCTGCAGATTTTTACTATAAACACGAATTACAGCACTCCATACTCAAATCTCTTATTACTTTACAGTGCAATCCATTCAATTTCTACTCTCTCTTACTCAGACTGTGTATACAATCCTTACTAATATAAAGATTTCTATTTCAAATAAATTCTGTTCTTTGGAATTTTCTATTCATAAAGTTATCCTGAATCCTGAACATTAATCAGCACAATTGTTCCTTGAGCACCAAATTAGCATATTAGAATGGTTTCTGAAGGATCACGTGACTCTGTAGACTGAAGTAATGGCTGCTGAAAATTCTACTTTCCCATCACAGGAATAAATTACATTTTGAAATATATTAAAATAGAAAACAGTTGTAATAATTGTAATAATATTTCACAATATTACTGTTTTTGTCATATTTGTAGCAAATAAATGCAGCCCTGAAGTGCATAAGAGATGTGCAAAAATCTTACTTACCCCAACCTTTTGAACGGTAATGTACAGTACTGTCCCTAAGAAGATGCTGTCTACATAAACTTCTTTTAAGGAATACAGTTGAAGGGTACTACACTGTTGTCTCTAGTGACACTACCATTTGATTTATTCTTAAAGACTTTATCGATAATGGGAGTTTTTAATCTGGTTAATTACATAAGATTAGAGATTTTCAAAACAGTATATGCATGCTTTCAAATCTAATACAAATTCAAAAACATTGTGTATCATCAAAATGATCAAATAATGATCATATACCTGTCCAATGTATTTAATTGTTCTTATTTACTTGTCTAATCAAATATTCATTAACTGAGGCAAATTAGAAAAAAAGTCTAATTAGAATGATTGAAAAAAATATCTTAATACTGGAATATCAAATTGATAGAAGAGGCTATTAAACAATGTAAAGAAAATTAGCTGGCTATTTTGATGATGTTCTGAAATCAATTCCAAACATCATATCTCATTTATTTTGTTAAAAGATACAGATACCAGGATGTTACAGACACCTACATGTACACCTACATGTACACACACACACACACTATGATACCTTCAGACGGAGACGTATGGTGTTGCAGTCCCTCAGCGGGTTGAGTTTAAGCGTATCTCCCAGATTATTACAGGTGGATCTCATGTGCTCGAGCTCACAGCAGACACACACACCGTCACTGTCAAATTTAATCTGCAGAACGACAGAAACAAACTGGTTTCAGCTTCATGCAAGTGAAATGTTTATTTCTGCATAAAATGGACAAAAAAATTGTGTGACTGCTCAAGGTAAAAACAAACACGAAAACAGGGCAGGCCAGGCACAATTGTAACACACTAAATTCCTTCCATCAGAAGCGCATTACAATGATGACACTTGTTCAGGAGATGTAAAATAGGGTTCCCTGTCTGCCTGAAAGAAACAGGATCATATTACCCCTTGAGATTACCCCTTCTGCGTCTTGATGGCATTTAATTTAAACTTGATAGTTAAAAGTTATCATAAATGACAAATATTAAGTATAGCTGACAGCTAGAAGGCAGGGTCATATTTATAAAATACAATAATTAGATTTAAATCTTTTTCAATGTGTACACTTTTACCACATTTATTTTTCACAACAAAAAGTAGCTGCATATTTGTGGAAGCTTAATGTATTGAAAAAGGAAGAGAAATTAACAAGTCTTCCACATTAATAAGGCTCATATTCTTGATCTGAACAGCATTAGCCCAGTCATACATGTTTGTTAAGAAAGATCTTAATAAAGCCCATACATGGTGGTCCAGCATTATAAATGCTTTTTGTGTTAGACTGAAACTAAGTCGCCATTTGACCGATATTGCACAAAAGCAATGTGTGAACTTTGCAAGCAGGGGTTAATTGAATGGTGGGAAACAACTTCATTAATATTTCAGTCATGGCGGGATCATGTCTCTGAGGAGATGAGCGTTCAGTAGTAGGCAGAGAGGAGAGATGCTTTAATCCAACATGCTAATCCCTAAATTAGGTGGAGTAGAGACTGATGGAGACAGAGGTCTGTCTTTAGGTCTGGTCTAAACCTGTAGACAAAGGGAAGGATAATTACCTGACCTGTTTTTTGCACAACAGCACCAGGTGAGAACTGCCATTGAGTTCTCAATGTCATGTTTCCATGACGACAGGTGATTAAGACAGGGTTTTGCCTCTGTTAAATTATGGAGAATTACTGGATGATTATGAAGGAGAGGACAATAGAGAGATCACCATGTTATTAATTCCTATTGATTTTTTAAATTAGTATCTTGTGAGACAAAACTCCCCACTGTAGATTGAACGAAACTTCAAATGCCGGTGATATCTAATATCCATATGCTTCCGCTTGCTGGACAAAAAACAGATTGAGGCTGGAAAACAAAACAAAACTAAAAAAAAAAAGAGAAAAAAAAACACAATATATATATATATATATATATATATATATATATATATATATAATATATATAATGACTTTTTTTTATATATAATTGGGATAAAAATTTGATAGTTTCCCACTGATTTCACATGCCAAAAAAAAGTCACAATTTAAGCTTCTTTTCATTACACTAGGAGAAAAAGTGTGATCATTTATATTTCATTATATGAATGTATGATTTTATATCAACCACGGTGAGTTCTTCACAGTAGACAAAATGATTGAAATCACCTGAATATTTCATCTGTATGACACATTCAATTAAGCTCAGGCCACATAATGTCGTGTGTGCTCAATCCTTTGTGAGATGAATCATTAAAGCATTTTCAGGTTCCATTTCATCTAAAAAATGTCTGGTCATTCTTTATAAAGCAAGGTTGTTGTTTTTTTTTTTTTTTCATCAGAGTGTGTTCTTCCGACTGACTGCCCACTACACAAGACAGTTACTTTCAGTTTCTAATTAACGCTGAACTGAATGGACATTAACTCACTGTTGAATCACAAAATATAAAATAGCTTTGCATATTTATTAAAACATTTTCATGTTTTAATAAATATATACTGATGTCAGAAAAAAAAGTCTACAACAAAACTTGAATGCTTGAATATGTTCAGTTGAAATTCTACAAATAAAAAACAGCTAAAAAAAAAACTTTGATGATAATTTTATTGTATGTATGTTAAAACAGAAGCTTGTGTTGAAAAAGCAAGCCACAAAAATAGATCACTGATACTAGAATGAAGCTAAAATAATAGCCGCCATCCATAAACTGAAAACCAGTCATGCATTTAATTGTGTTTGAAAAAAACAAATACGAATTTCTTGGTGATTAATGTACGCAGAGATATGGATGCCGAATTATTAATAACCCTAAGATCTTCAACTAAACTCCATTGTTTCAGATACGGTGGATTTAGTGCTGTGCTTTATCATGTATGCTCACTAATTCTGAATACTACGAATCATCTGATCATTTAGTTATGTATTGCTTCCACATCAGGCAAATAAATGGTGAGCTGAAGAGGGGTGTCCAGTTCTGGATAACAGAAATGGGGGAAGCCGTGCTGAGCTGTTATGTTGCGCTGGGCCAGCACTGGACCCACTGTAGAGCTGATAAATCAAACTCAATAGAAAGCACAACAAAGACTGACTGCTGTATTAATCTCCTTTATAAGCCTTCATTCAAAGAACACAATGGGCAGCACACAAACATACTGTGGCATTCATTAAGGATATCCTCCAGTATCAAAAACAACAATTTCGAGGTATTATTTGCCATAAAAATAAGAGAAATTGGCTTTTTAGATTTCATATTTTAGATCTAGATTTAGTTTTAGTTTAGATTTAGCTTTAATTTACAGCTTTCATATTGACAACTGTACCCCAGTAAGAACACAGAATAAATGTCCATGATACATTCATTATGTATTCTCATATTCTAATAACATCACAAGAATTTGTTCCTCTCTAGCAAAAGCAAAGTGATCTTGTTACAGGACATTCGGCACTAGCATGGCTAATGTATGTGAATTGACTTCCACTGTGATGCTCACCCACTACCATTCACTTGACCGCTGAACAATTGATGATTATGAATTTTCTATTTTGTTTTACTAGAAAACCCCTGAGAGCTTCAGCAGCCGATCAGGCAGCCATTTTTATGAGGACAAAGGTGGTGGGTGTTAATATTTATTTCTGCTCCAACAGAATATTAAATTGGACATAAAAAATGGGTCCCGGCAGACATTCTTATTCTCTCTGCCTTAGAAACTGGTTGTTGAGCTAATTTTACTGAGATCTTGACAAGGGCATTGTGTTAATGAATGATGCTCTTGGGAGCTATAATTGCTCAATGGATTGATTCTTTAGTGACAGGCTAGTTTTGAGTGGATGATAAAAAGACAGGTTTAGGACTAAGCTATTTTCACTAAGCTATTTTGGACATAAGAATCTATTTAAAGGGGTCATATGATGCGATTTCAATTTTTCCTTTCTCTTTGGAGTGTTACAAGCTCTTGGTGCATAAAGAAGATCTGTAAAGTTGCAAAGACTAAAGGGTAACACTTTACTTGAAGGGGTGTGCATAAGACTGACATGACACCTTCATAATCATGACACGACACATGTCATGAATATGAAGGAGGTTTTATGCATGTTTATGACAACTGTCATTAAGTGTCATTCGCTCCGTTATGTCATTTTAATGCAAATATGACATTTGACCTAACCCTAACAACGTGTTTCAGAAAGGCAGGGCATAGAGGAGAAACAATAATGTACAGTATGTGGAAAATAATGTGTTTTTTTAACCTTAAACCGCATTAACACATTTCATTACACCAAATAATGTTCTTTTTAGCAACATCATATGACCCCTTTAAGGTTTCCTTTACAACAAAGAAGTGATTTCAGGCATGTGTTTGAGGACATGACTCTCTCACCAGCTGACAGTCCTCCAGAGAGTTGACCAACTGGGCATTCTGACAGGAAAGGATGGCTCCTGCGAGGTTCAGCATCACACACACAGCAGACAACAGCATGAAGAAAGTTATCTGTGGAGAAAGGAATGGAACAGACTGTCAGTTTCAGAGGTTATGGTGGTATATTAAGACTACTAATAAACAAAAAACAGTAGGATGCAATTTTTCATCTCATTAAACAGGCTTTGCAGAAGGATTCTACATACAGGGTTCCCACATATTTTGGTCAACAAAAGTCCATGAATGTAAATTTTTTTTTGGAAACTGCATTTTTTCCAGCATTCAACATTAACAGCATTTATTTGAAATATAAATCTTTTATAATGGTCTTAATTGTCTTTTGTCTGAAATAATTGTCCTTACTGTCACTTTTGAACAATTGAATGCATCCTTTCTAAATAAAAGTTTAAATTTTATTAAAAAAAAATTTAAAAAAAATTAGTAGAGCATATCATGTACACAAATAATAATAATAATAATAATATATTGATGCATGCTAGAGTTGAGCACAACTACAAAAAGAGATATTCACTATAGAATTTTTCATAACTTTTAAAGATTTTACTGTTCTACTTTTTCGCAACTTTAAAATTCCCTTATATTTTTCAGGTTTTCCATGTACAATAGACAGAACATCTCTCTCTCTCTCTCTCTCACTCTTTTACATGTTCTTCTCTGACGTTTAGACGATGTGATTTGTAATCTTGCAATCTAGTTTATTTGTAAGACATTTTACAATATCTTGGTTTTTCAAACGTAGCCATTGTGCAGAATGGAATAATCATTACCCGAGTTTTAGTTTCATCAGACCAAAAATAATCCAATTGTGGTTTATGGGACTTGACGTAGGAGCGTGAAAGCTCGAATGTGATTGATCCGAACTATTCATCCATGGGGAAAGTGAAAGGAACAGACGTGACTAATAATTAAAGCGCTCAATAACCAATGATTTCAACCAAAACAATTAACGTTGATCTAACCATCTGAGCCCAGACTCATTACTGTGAGAGACGGCCCCACAGCTCACATGAATAGATGAATAACACAAGTGCACTTCAGCGCATTGGGCTATTTTTCTCTGGGTGTTGATATACTACCCCTCCCACAATTCCTAGGTAGACCACGCTGAAACATGGCCAGTGACATATGGTCAGCTAGAGAAACCAATCTTTGCGTAATTCCCCCGCCCCACATCCTATCAATGTGGCACCGTGCAGCTTGATAGATCTCAAGCGTGGCCATTTTTTCTCTTTTTGCACCGCTTGCAGAACCACGACTTCTGGTTCCTCTCCCCCAACTCGCTATTAAAAACAATTCTCTTTAATTCTCAGCTGGCACTTTTGGGATTTCAGTCCTGAAGGATGAAATACGTTAAACATTCTGGCCACTTTAAATCAAAGTCTGTGTGAGAGAGAATGAGTTTAAACCTGTCAGGTTCAACCCGGGTAGATTACAGGCTAGGACACTGAGTCGTATATCAACAGTGGTCTAACCTCCACAACACTGTGATTTACTAATGAGACCCTCTACCTGACGGGGCATTAACCTTGCAATGCCAGACATGTCAGCAAAGAGAGAGTGATAGAAGCTGAAAGTGAAAGTTGGACAGTCATTTCAACTCTATCACACAGACACAGATTGACACTTACGATATGTGGGAGGGCTGGTGTGAGGGACGCTGGGAGATATGAATGTGATAAGTGTTTTTCAGTCTACCAGCAAACTGGAAGATTAAGAGGCTGATGTACGAGGAGGTTCAAAAGCATCCTGGGGCTGCGAGGGTCCTTGGCTCAGGAACACAGGCAACCTCAAGCTTGATTTCCTCCATACTTAATAAAGTGCGGACAGTGTAGAGATGACAGTGGTGATCCATTGGAGCTGAATGACTGAACTAGGTTGTGTACTGTCTTGTGCACCAAAGGAAACTGAAAGGTTACGAGCATAGAGAGGAAAGGATGTGAATCTATGACTCAAAGACGGGATGATCAAAATGTGATTTCAACAGAGCATCACATTTGTTGTTGCTTGCTGTGGGAAAGAGACTTCTCAGATTTTCATAATCACTGACAACAACATTCATGTCAGATTGTTTTTCTTGTGCAGGATGACAAATATGAAATCAAACCCGAGCTTCAGGCAGAGAGATGACATCTCCATCACTTTACAGAGAGAAAACACACTACAGCACAAATGATGGCTGAGGACCAGGTAAAAATGCAGGCAATAATGAGTCCGATTTTGTAAAGCAAAAATTTAAAAGATGTTATTCAGAACACGAGTGATAAGGGAAAGCTTAATGGGCCACTCTTCAGCTGTCCTTTCAATGCAAGCTGAGCGAAGCCAATGAAACACACCATTCCTGTCTATCTCTAATTTATTCTGCTGGTACAGAGGAGGGAAATGGTCCCTTTCAGCAAACGCTTTATAGTTTGCAGAGAGCAATATCAAAAGACAAATTCAGTTGCTGCGCTCCAAATCTACTACTGCGACTCAAATTCAATCTTTAACTTTAATTGCAACATGCAGTCTTCTCCAATTGGTTCACAGGCTTTCTGTAGGTTGTATGGGCTTCTGTTTTAGCAGCAACTTTCTAAACTGTATAAACATGAAAGCTGCACCAATTTTGCTTTCAATGAACAATTTTTAAAAATTTTATGTTAACTTTACCACATATTATAAGTACTACAGTTCAAAACAGTTTGGGGTCAGTCAATTATTTTTAAAGAAATTAATACTTTTATTCAGCTATGATGATTGTAAAGGAGGTAACTCCATCACTCACAACCTTGTTTTCATTTTGTTTCCAATTTCCAAGTATCTACTGTAAGGTGTTACAATTAAAGCTATATAATAAATTGTTACATCATTCAACTATCTAAATAAGCATACTGCATGTTAGTTGTCTCTGTCTGACTAAAATCTCCTTTAGGAGGGTTGACTCCTGAGAGCTCCGGCCCTGGCGGACTAATTACTCCGCCTGGCTCCATGCTGCTGTTTTCTAATTACCGTGTGGGATCACATATCACTGTTTAACAGGTTCTCATTAATTACAGCCCATCTGCCACCTGCATGCCAAGCAGTACGATGAGTCGCCTGGCACATGCCACTCACCGGCAATGGGCACGAACGATCATCAGCCATGAAATAATTCGCACCTGGCAATACTGCTGTGTACTGGCATTTAGGTTTGGCATTAATAGCTGACAGGTTGTCTATCGAGACGAACTACTGGAAAAAACGCAGTAAGAAAATGAGAGGCATTTAATTTAGAGATTTTAAAGAGAATAAATCTGGATCCAGGATCTGGAGAGACCGTGTGGGCTGACTAACTGCAGACATATTTGTTCTCTGACCATCCCGTGGAGATACAAACACATGGACGATTGTGCTCACAGTGACAGAAGAATCACCTACCGTCCAATCAACATCACCCGCCCCTCATATCAGCAGCTCACATGCAGCCTGGGAGCCAAAAAAATATGGTGTGAACAAGAGGAAGGGCATTAAAACAGAATATCACTGGCAGATTTTGATGAGACACAGCCGCTGCTTATTATAGTTTGTCATCATCACCATTAATCCAGTGTAGTGTATCCAGGGACACTTTTTTTATTACGTAAATGGGACACATACGGTGTTAAGAGACTGGATGACTTTTACTACCTTACGTTTTTCTTAGAACAACATGAACATACACTTTATAACTGTGGTGACAAACAATCTGAGGTGTATCACTTCATGTATCTTCATTGCACAGCCAAACATGCGCATCTCCATATGTGGTGTGAAAATGTATTTCTCACTTACAAGTTGAAAACAGTTAGAAAGAGTGTGAATCCTTATACAGCACCCAGTTTCTCTATTTCAAGATCAGCTAAGATTATCCAACTCACTTTTCAGAAGCAGAGCAGTCAAGCATCAACTGCTCAATAAGCTCCCGATAGTTCAGCTTCCTTGAACAATAGGTTGATGCAATCTCACAAATAAAACAAACTTAAACTCAAACCATTTAACAGTGTGCTATTTCTCCTCAGGGGATATGGGACCTTTTATACTTATTCAACTTTTTAAACAGCCATATTTATCAGGGCAACAATTCAAAACACTATTAGATTTAATACGTGTATAAATTTGTGGTTGAAGGCTAGAGACATGCTCTTACCAAACAAACAGACTACTGATCAAATCCTACCAACATTTCTAAGGATTAAATTGTTACTGAATGTAATATAAATATCAAATAGCACCAACCTAAGTGCAATATTAGCATACTGTATTCCCCCTTACAAAATAAATTCACAGTTAAAAGTGTGAGGACACTGTATGAGCTTCTTTCACGCTCAATGCATTCACTGACATAAACCATTGCAGACTGTGTGCCTTAATTAAAATGCCTTAAAGGGGTCATATGATGCGATTTCAATATTTCCTTTATCTTTGGAGTGTTACAAGCGCTTGGTGCATAAAGGAGATCTGTAAAGTTGCAAAGACTAAAGTCTCAAATCCAAAGAGATATTCTTTATAAAAGTTAAGAGTCAACCACGCCTACCTAAAATGGCTCGTTCTAACACGCCTCCACATACCTACGTCACGATGTGGGAAGATTTGCATAACGCCACCCAAATGTTCACGCAAAGAAAGAAGGCGTAACTTTTATTCTCGCTGTAGTATTGTTGTTGCCACCGCCGCCATGTTGTGGAGATGCTGTGTGTTTCGTTGTGAAAGTGAAACTACTTTGTTTGGCCTTCCAAAAGAGGACGATATCGCTTTGTCATGCCTAGAGCTGATCCGTGCTGGTCGCTGAGGAAATACATAAACTTCGCTCTGTGGATCGCCGGATCGGCTTTCACCGTGGACGAAGCGGAGTCCAGCCCGGGGTCGTCACATGTGGTTGCTGCAAGCCCGCCGGACGCTCCTTCGTCGAATCCGCCGGCTGGCCGTCAAATATTCAGATGTGTCCAGCGCATTTTATGGAGGACTGTTTCCTGATCCTGGTAGAGTAGACTACAATGCCGACTGTTCTGACTCACACACTGTAAGTAGGTTTTTTTAATTTAAAGAATTTGCCACTG